AAATTATAAAATTATAATATAATTTATATTATTATATAATTAATTTTTTTATTAAAAGATTCATTTATAACATTATATATATTTATTTAATATTATGTCACATCATTATAAACTTCAATCATACATGGTATTAGGACAGTGTATAAGAGAAAATATTTTTATATAATATTTTTATATAATTTTTATATATCATTAAATGAGTAAATGCACTTAATATTATAGGTTTTAAATAAATAAAAATAATTAATCATTTAAATAACATATAAAATTGTACTAAAAAATGATACGAAAATTGTTTCTGAATTATTTTCTTATGGTATTTTAATTATAATATTGCTCAAAATAATAAACTTTTTTACTTTTATCTTGAAATTAAAGATTTTTTAAGATAATTTCTATTTTTACTTATTTTATTTTCTAAAAAATAAAAATAAAGAAACTTTTTTATGATATAATAGATAATTAAAATTTTGAGTAAGTAGAAAAATTTTCTTTTGTATGAAAAAAATGAAAAGTAGTACTTCTTTATTTCATAATAATAGATATTTTTGAATTTTCTCTATAGATTATAGATTTATAGACAATTTATATTTTTACCTATATTATCCTTAAAAATAAATAATTAAAGAGATTTTTTATGATAGAATGAATAATTAAATTGATCAAGAGATAAATAATAAAGTTAAAGAAGTAAAAAATATATTTATCTCATTTAAAATATGAAAAATGATTATCATTTTGAAATAAATTTTAAATCAAAAAAGTATATTATTCTAGATAGGGGAATATGTGAAAACATAATTATAAAATTTTTATTAGTTAAAAAATATAAAAAGATGAGTATATAGTGTGAAAATAATCCTATTCCAATCCTGCATCCCCTCAGTCGGTGCTTTCCATTTAATTACTGTATAAAAAATCAAGTTTGTTCAAACTAAGAGTAAAGAAAATTTGCTTGGCTTATTATTTTCTGAATTGATTTTTTTTTAGGATAATGATTCTACTTTTTATGATTGATTTATATATTTAAAAGTTACACATGAATTAATATAAGTCCAGCTACTCGCTTAATTCCTTACACAATGTTCTATTATACATAAAAAAAAAAAATTATAATAGTAGTGGGGTTAGTATATTTTATTTAATGAAAAATATTTATCAGATGAACATGTAAAAAATTAGATGGAAAAATATTTGAAATTAAGTCATTTTATTTTTATAAGTTTTTATTGAAAAAACTAAAATAATAAATTTTTAAAACATGAATAAAGTTCTTTTGTTCTTCTAAAATAATATTGTATTAAAATATCGTGATTTTGTACCATATTCTGCTAAATTTTTTTGCAAATTAGTTAATAAATACTAATATCTTAATTTATACTCAGTTTAAAAGAAATTGAGAGGAAAAGAGGGGAGGAAAAATTTTTTGTCTAATCATATTAAGATATTAACACATTGAGTTGAAATCTTAATTTGATTGGACAAAAAATTCTCTTTACATTTCTTTCTTTATTTCCTTCAAAATAAACATCTCTTTATATTTCTTCTTCTATTTCCTTTAAATATACCCTTAAAGATGAATTTTGTCCTCCCTTTCTAGAAAGTATTTTTGTAGAAATCATGTGCAAAATATAACTTAGCTTGGTCCAGATCTTCAGGATTTTCATTTTTCTGCACGAACCTCCACAAAATAAATAAATAAACAATTATAAATTGATTAGTTGGTTTTGAAGAAATATAGCTAGCTAAAAATGATGTAACTAGCTATACTCGCTTACAAAGCATTTTCCAATAAACAATGTAAAAGTATTTCCTTTCGTGTACAATATTGGACTACAATTGAAAGGTGGCCATTTATTTTGGTTTTGAAAGATTATAGTTGGTTATACGTAGCTATCTAACATCAATTTTTGCTACATGGCCTCCCTAAAAATGCCTTGTAGGAAAGGGAAACCAAACATGCCCTCAAATTTCCTTAATTGTGAGATAATTAAAAAAATTAAAAAATTATTTTTTATTTTAAACTATATTAAATTATAAAATAATTACTATTAATTTGAATGAGTACTCCTTAATATTCGCCCTACACCTCCATTTAAGAATCTTGATTTTGTAATATAAATTATAAATTTAAAACCCTAAAAAAAATAATATAAAGAACGAAAAATTTTAAACCAAAATTTAAAATCAATAATGTAACATAAATTATATTATTAAATTAATTAATACATATAATATTATAAATTTTTAAAAAATAAAAAATTAATTATTAAATAATATAAA